AGGAACGATATTTGTGATAGATTTATATATAGCACTGACCAAGCAGTGATTACAAATATCGTTACTGTCTGGAATTTTGGACGTTACAGCGAAACAGCTTCAACATAAATGTTTGTTTAAATCAAGATTAAATTAAAAATCGATATGCATTGTTTTCTCAGAGTTAGTGAAAAATTGATATTTCATTATTTTGATCTCAATAAATATATCTTTTAATTAATCATTTCCATGGAAATCTACCACAACAGCTTTTCATTTAGGAATTGGAAGTCAATTGCAAGATAATATACGATATGTTGAGTTGAGTAAGATAAGAATCTACATGTATATATATTGTAAATAAATACTGATGATCACAAACCGCATTTTACTTTAAAACTTTGAACAGGCGTGACGGACGATTTTTTTAAGAATTGAATAATAAATAGTTTAAATAATTCACATCATGATTGACATGAATGTTGATTTCATTTTTAGATCGTATATCAGACAACATGTTATCTACACAGATAATGCACGGTATATATAACAAATAACATGCACGTGATATTTGATTTACATAGGCTTAAATATCTATAATTTATTTGGCAGTTCCTATGATGGAATTGGGGCGTTGAGCTTCAATCATGAGATGTGTTTTGTATAGAAATGTCCTATTGACAGATAAACTACTCGGGTATGGTTTATTTCTATCAAATTACATTGTATCAGGATTTTCTATAGGAAAACCCTCAAATTACATTGTATCAGGGTTTCCTATCAGAGAAAGCTCAAATTACATTGTATCAGGGTTTCCTATCAGAGAACCCTCGAATTATATTGTATCAGGGTTTCCAATCAGCGAAAGCTCAAATTACATTGTATCAGGGTTTCCCATCAGCGAAAGCTCAAATTACATTGTGTCAGGGTTTTATATCAGAGAAAGCTCAAATTAGATTGTATCAGGATTTTCTATCGGAGAACCCTCAAATTACATTGTATCAGGGTTTCATATCGGAGAAATGTATCAGGGTTTCCTATAAGAGGACCCTCAGATTACATTGCATGCATCAGGGTTCTCTATCAGAGATTTTTGCATTTGTTAGGAGCCGTGACATCTTTATGGGTGTCATATGTCGAAAGGGAAATATGTACCCTTTAATAGCGTTTTTTTTTTTTTTTTTTTTTTTTGGCGAGGGGATTGGGATTAATTATGTATTTTGTTACATTTTGCGGCCTCCTCGGATCCATGCCGTTTCAGATTAGGTGGGGTGATTAGCCTGAATTGGCATACCGAGCAAAACTGCAAAAAAAAAATTATATGCATGATACGGTTTTTAATCTGAATCCTAACCAGAATAAAACAAACAGAAAAGAACCCAATTTTACTAAATATGTTTGAAATATAGGTTATCGTTCTTATTTTTTATAAACGGAACTTAATCCTTCAAATCATGTAAACGGAAGGGGACAATCCGAATCAAACCGTACATTTGTCCCGAGTGAGGGTTTACACCCGTGTCACATAACATATAAAAAGCAAACTAAATTGTCCCATCATCAACCCTGCGGTTTTATAGTGGTATAAGATATCTTACTCACTATGCACTTGATTTCCTATCGTAACAAACGTGTAGAACCATTTGCCAAACCTATCAGATAAGTACGTACAAAACAACGCTAATAGGATCAATACTATAATTAATATTATAATCGATTGATACACTTGCGGTTTAAATAGGTTGAATTATGTATAGGCTTCAGAAAGTCAATATGGATATTGATAACAACTGCTGTGTCAGAATGGTGCGTGATATTTTGAACTGGGCGATTTATTAAGTATGATATTATATTTGTATATGCCGGGACTCAATATCGAGTAATTACACGTATTGTCATTATATTAGAGAGATGTGGATATTTGTTTATTCAAAATTAATTACACATTATTCCGTTGTTAACAAGGTCATATCGTAAAATATATCAAACTGGTTTGAACCGAAAAACTTACTATTCCGAAATGATTAAATGTCAACCATAATGTCCCTACAGTACAGGAACCCCATTAAAATGGATATCAACGGTCATCCTTGATCCAAGCTTTCGGGCTTAGTCCTCCATCACGGAAGGAATTGTCCTCGTCCTTATGTCACTTCTATGTTTGAAAACTTGAAGATCGCAGGACTAAGCCCAAAAGCGTGGATCCAGAGTGACTGTTGATATTTATTCCCAAATGAAATATATGTGTTTTATAGACGTTTATGACAGTATTCTCAGCATTAGATAATAACCCAAACCTGAATTTGATATATCGTTATTGTATTGATAGTAGTAGGGAGTATCATTTTACTATAGTCTTGGTTTAAACTTTGTTTTATTCAAATTTTGTTTGACAATACATCGAAATACATGTTTTATAAAACAGAAAAGGAAACAAAAACAAGTGTCGTGACACTTATGTAAATTTGTTACCTGCTTAGTAATCAGCTTTTCAACACTAGCTACAAGAATGAAGTAATATGTACAATAGAATAATTACGGGAATAGGGGAGGGGGTAATGGATTGGAATGCAGTGGAAACCAGGAATGAATAACATATCAAAATACATATGATCATCAGATGGTAATATCATATTGCTCTATTGCGATGAGTATGTGGAACACGATTCTGTAAAATATACCAATGGAATAGTAGATGAAAATGTCAGCATTCCTGTAAGTGGACACTCGAAAAAGGTTAAAATGTATATACAAGTTACATAGAATAAATCACCACTAAATCAACTATTGACAAAATTAGTATGTCACAAAGCACCGCCATGATGATTAAAAACGTTGCAGTTCACATACTAGCCATCACACTTATCAAATATAAGTCCATAAAACACTTTCCCGCCTCGTCCCTGGTACGTCCTGCTCTTTCAAGATAACACATCACTTTTATCAAACAATTATAATCATGGCGAGTTAGTGACATGATATTGTATAAAGAAATGCAATGGCAAAATCACTGAATAAGCATATAAATCCAAATACATTTAATACTATAGTCTTGTTTAATGTTGAAGTGAAATAGCAAGATATTTGATAAGGAGTATATAGGGGTGATTGGTCCCTTTTTAGTTTTGTTCTGTTTAATAGTTTTGTAAATATTCAACATAGAAATGTGGTATCAAAGGTGCTGTTGTGATACAGGAAAAGTGCCTGAACTCTCGTGTTAATTTCGAAACTTCATGAAATTCTCTCATATGCAATTGAATTTCAAATTCTGTCTCGTCTTATTTCTAGCACTTCATCTTGAAATAAATGACGTCATAATTGAAAAATATTTGTATCATAGTGTTGAATGACAAATATAGTTCAGGGCATAATACATCATTTATGAAAAACAGAAACAAAATTTGAATTATCATTATGTGAATATGAAACATGACCTATTGTAGGCAACACATATATGTTGCAACGTACATAAATATATCTTATCCACAAGGATTCTGTGTTATACTTTCATGGGAAATGTACTACTTACACCAAACGGGAGAAAAACGATCTGTTGTATTTACTCCAGGCCATGTTAAACAATGACGGGTAGGCTGGAAACTAGCCGAGTATTGCCACGGTCTCGGCAGGACAGCATGCCCATTGATCTATGCCTATGCAATTCTTGTGTTTAGTGTTTCGACATCCTGAAATCGAGAGTAGAAACTGTAATTAAATCCACATACATGTGCTACTAGTGGACATGATGGAATCCGTCGTATGCACCATGCTCCGGTTTTAAAGGGGAACTTACAACAATAATTCATCTGGATTTATTTGTACTGGAGCTCGAGACGTCCATTAGAACTAATTAGCTCTGACGTATTCAAGAAACAAACGCAGCACGAGCACCTCGTGTTGAACATTGCATGTCTATTTCACAAACCAGTGATGTCATTAATTGACATCCATTCATATTCATTTTTTTCAGTATTTGTTTTATAACGTAAAGGAATTAGAATACATCGATACAAAATAGACAAAGCCCCGTCTCCACAGACTTGAGAGAAGTCATTTTTGTTTTACTGTTGATCATATTTGCTGACTGATACGTCGCCTCATCTTCGCGATCGAACTGTGCGTCTGCCTCTTTCATCTGCTCATGGAACAATGGAGAAATCAACAGGCTTTTTCTGCACGCATTGGTACACACGGAACCTTGTATTTGTACTTAACATATTGGAATCATTTAAAAGTACATCAATACGCCTCGATACACACACTGATCGATCTAGTAGTCACGGCCCACGTTTTACCATGATCGGTCTAGTATTCACGGCCCACGTTTTACCATGATCGGTCTAGCATTCACGGCCCACGTTTTACCATGATCGGTCTAGTATTCACGGCCCACGTTTTACCATGATCGGTCTAGTATTCATGGCCCACGTTTTACCATGATCGGTCGCTTGGCACCGTTGTCATATGACTTATACGGAGTCGAATGACGTCACACCTCAATCAATCAATTCATCAATTGTATCACAATATTTCTGCGCAGAATTACTCAAGACAGTGCAATTTTAGATAACTCACGAAATATTTGATTATTCTTTATAAGTTCAACTTCGTTTTGCTTATCTATACAATTAGCTATAAGAGTTGTGATAACTAGTCTTTATTCAGATAAAGAAAACAGCGTGGTTTCAATAGAATTTTTGTTTCAAATTTAAGAACGCATTATCACAGTCGGTTGTTTGACTTATTAGGAAAATCACATTTACCCATCAACTTGTATCCAACTATATATATGTAACATTTCTATTTTCATGAAATAGATTTCTTCCGAACATTTCGTTTGTCTAGCAATTACCCTTTATTTTCTTCAATCAAAACTCATGAAACATTTACATTATTCTTAAAACTATTTAACATGTCTAGTGTTAGATATTTTTGACCATTCAGGATTTCTGTAATCAAACAGTTTGGATCTTTAACATGTTTCACTAATCAAACTATTCTGCAATGTTTGTGTTTATCAGGAGCTGGAATTCTGGGGCCTCACAGAACTAGACATTGAGCCATGTTGCTGGGGCCATTACAGCAAGTTCAAGGACCACAAAGAAACGCTAGCGGCACTGGACGACAACTTTACTACAGAGATGGATATCGACGCGTGGGGGGACAAGCCGTCCAATCTCAATCGCTTTAAACGACAGATGTGGCAATTCATGGAAGAGCCAGGATCCACACGTGGAGCCAAGGTATATTTGATGTAGAATGCAAATATCAGAATCAAGTTAAACTATTCATCGTACTTTGGCCTTTTAAATAAGCAACAAGGTTTGGATTCCTTGTACAAGCCTGGATATGTAAGATGTCATTACTATCAGACAACCATATACCTCATCGGTCAAATATAACTCAAAATATAGGTTCTACCACTCAGTTCACTTAACAAATCACCAGCGCAGGATTTTGAAATGTTAAATCTTATGCAGTAGATATCTAAGTACATAATCCATGAATAAGCAACTCCTCGATACTAGAGGGGTTACGCTCACTTTCGCTCTCTGCAACCTAGAATATGTCAAAGCGAAATTGAAGGCTCAGTGTCAGTGTGCGCCACCTTATGGATGAGGCAAGAAGTCCAGTTTGATCCTTTGATGTTAATCCAAAACATCTTGCAGTCGCGTAACGGTACAATTGACAGGCTTTTAAGTCGGATGTCGATCCCCTGTAATCTTCAAAGCACAGGTATCACCTTAGGGATTTGTAAGTATTTTTTACACCTGATATTATGGTGGCATATTTCTGCCATCCACTTGCGACTTACGAGTTACGTATGTCGACATAATTATTGAAAGATGTCGACATAATCTGAGAATATGTCGACATAATCTGAGAAGATGTCGACATAACTGTTAAATTATGTCGACATATTATCACATTTGCCGAGATAATTTTGCCGAGATAATTATCTCGTAAGTGGGTAACTCGGCTTTTTATCGTGTTAATGCTCGGGTGTGACATCGACTTGCCACTTACGACTTGCCACTTACGACTTATTTATGTCGACATCCTAGTAGATTATTGCCGACTTACCAAAACGAGGCTTGTGCACGAGGACCGCGAAGGTGGGCTGATGGTGACTGAACAGTGGTGACTATACTGGTGAGTAACTTGGTAAAATCAATGTAAATATGGGAAATCAAAGATATGGATATTACAGTAGGTTACTATGATGTACAGAGTTTATCAATCAAAGAGGGATTTTACATAAATAAGTCGTAAGTGGCAAGTCGTAAGTCGATGTCACACCCGAGCATTAACACGATAAAAAGCCGAGTTACCCACTTACGAGATAATTATCTCGGCAAAATTATCTCGGCAAATGTGATAATATGTCGACATAATTTAAAAGTTATGTCGACATCTTCTCAGATTATGTCGACATATTCTCAGATTATGTCGACATCTTTCAATAATTATGTCGACATACGTAACTCGTAAGTCGCAAGTGGATGGCAGAAATATGCCACCATATGATATCAATCAAATAGCTAGCCGCGTGCCTTCATGTTTTGCTAGGACATATTCCAGGGGTGCATGGAGCCATAGTGAGCGTAACCCCTCGACTATCGAGGTTGAAGCAAGTTAGGACGGTTGAATAGTAGACATAAAGAACCCATGTAGAGGGTCAATATATTGAACTGAACAACCAACCACTTTTTATTAATTCGATTTTATGGCAAGGTCCTAAATTGCTTAATCAAACGTGGCGTACCGGAATAAGTAACCATATGATGTGGTAGACAAGGTTTATGTGTTCTATTAATCAATTGATGGAAAATATGATAGTATAGTTATATGTCAGTTTTCCAATGCCTACAATCCACATCCATTGTTTGAATGTCCGATAAGACATATAAACGACTAAAACAAAATACCGTTATACTGCCATGCGATTCGTAGATGCACATCAAAGGATCAAATCAGTCTTCGTGTAGGTGGCGCTAGCAGAGCCTTTGATTTCGTCATGATTTGTTCCAGAGGTGAGGAAACGTAACAGAGCGTAACTATGGTAATTTATACAGATACGTAACATTTCAAAACATGTTAATGTTTGGCTATAAAATTGATAAAACAAAAAATAACTTTCTGTTCCAGATTTTCGCTTTCATCTCGATGTCCTTCGTCGTATTGTCTATCGGTATTTTTACCATGGAGACGTATACGTGGTTCCGTGTACCTATCACAGGGGCGGTGAAGCAAAATTCCTCCGACCTGGCGTTGATTATCAACCCCACGGGGGACTATTGCGTCAAGACTGGGGGAGGGGACGGGGTTTACAGCTTCGCCGACACGAAACCCCACCTAGTTATGCAAGTATTGGATTACATTTGTGCGGCTTATTTCACAACAGAATATGTGTTCCGTTTATTTTTTGCCCCAAGAAAGTGGGAATTCCTCCGTCAACCTTTGAATGTGATCGACATATTGTGTTTAATTCCGCACCTGATCGCCATTATTCTTGTGACGATCGATCCGAACGACAGCACGAGTCAGCTCTTCAAATCAATGCTAGCCTTGAGGACGGTTAGAATTCTGAGAATTTTCAAACTGATGAAACACTATAGCGCATTTAATATCCTCGTGTACACTATTAAAGTCAGCACAAAAGAATTATTATTGATGGTGATATTTCTCTTCACCGGGGTATTGATCTTCGCGAGTATGATTTTCTATGTTGAAAGTGATACATTTGAAAACATACCCATTGGATTCTGGTGGGCGCTGGTAACCATGACAACAGTCGGGTATGGAGATAAGGTACCAAAGACAGTAGGGGGATATATTATTGGTTGTGGATGTGTGCTTTGTGGGGTCCTCACAGTTGCTTTCACGGTACCCATAGTAGTGAATAATTTTACTTTATATTATTCACATGCACAGTCAAGAATAAAATTACCAGCCCATAAAAGAAAAGAATTGAAAAGAAAAATATTCATCAAAAACCAAAAGTCTTCAAACTTTTTGGATAAGCTTCGGAATAGGAAGAAACGTAAAGATGCCGAATTCTCTGAACTACACGACGTCAGCATAAAGAGATCTCCACCTTGTGGCGAGGAATCGGTAAAGTCTAACTCTACCAATATTGACTTAAGTGCATCGCGGCAGACGTCACATCTAGTTAACGAAAACAACAGGGACATTGAAAACAGTAGGCAAGACCGGATACACACCATCTCGGAACAACTTGACGACGGGAGTGCAACTTCGATTACGCCGGTAGAAATCGAGGTGACAGAGAACGAGGTAAGCGGCAATTTGAACATTCTTTCTGAATAGCTTAGTTTCAGGAAATGAAGGGTTTGCTTATTTTCTGCAAATAATATATCACTATTGAAAAGGAAAGACATTTAACATTATTATTTATTCTCCGTTTTCAAAAAAAGTTCTAAAGTTTCCATCCACTCCGCCAATGAAAGAACGTTCTAAAGCGAATGAAAAATTAATTAAAGTAGTTACAGACTTACTTTGGAAAATATTAAGTAGCTGCATCATGCCATTTATTTGTCTTGTCCGATCAATAGAAAATGCCAAAGGTTGTGGATTTTTATATTCACTGTCCGCGATAAGTCTCTTATGGTTGGATTTTAAAGAATATAAAAAAAAATCATATATCATCGATTGCATATATCCGTTTTTAATGCATCACAAGAAATGGATGTCTTAAAAAAATCAAATATCAAAAATACAGTGGAAACCATCCTTAAATATTATTTAGTTTTCTTATACCGGAAGTGTATTCTCTAATATCTTTGTCATGTTTTGTCTAGCTTTTGTTTAATATAAAGGCATGCATTGCTTGATTAATCGACCCATAAACTCGAAACGGAAGGAAGCGCAGTATTATATTAACCGTGTCTTTGATTAATTTCAGCAACACAAGATCGAGACTACACAACTGCTGAATGGCCTCAAGGAGACCAACCAACGAGTGAAAGAAGAGCGAAAGCGACAACTGGAGGTACTTTGGACTAAACGCGAGCAGAAGCTGAAACAGCAGAAGGAAAGCAGGAAAACACCACGGGCGGCTCCCGCGCCGGCGGCGAGTAGCAGACGACATGGCGAAAAGAAGTAAAAAAGACGTGCAAATCTGCTTTGAAATACTCAAAGGAGAATTGTGCTTAGGATATATACATATCAATTGATATTGTTCAAAAGTAAACTCGTATTCGCAAGCAGTGTTGACGAGGATTAATAAATTCGTAAACTTTTAAGATTAAGTGTTCTGGATGGAAGGATGTTCAGTGTCCCTGGCGTTTGCATATTAACATGACGTGGAAGTGCATTGTCAAAAGCACATTATGTAGATAGTTTACTTTCGATTTATGTGCTTGTTAATTCACAGACGCATGTCACGACACGTCAGCAACAGACACATGGAACATTTTGAAATATAATTCATTTTGAATGGCACTTTTCCTTGAGTGTGTCAGGGTTGACAAAGGTCTGCTGTGATAACATTGTGATAAGAATGTGGGATCATTCGCACGTAACGAACATGAGCACCATTTCTCATCACAGCATCGAGTGTATTAGGCATATACGTCATGTAATCACATGGACCAGCCTTATAACAAAGGCATGCACAGTGTATGTAAAGTCCACAGCAAATTATCACATTCTGGTTACTGATAACCATCATTCATCTCTTCTTTTCTGGATAAGAACATTTGAAGATTCAATAATCGTGTACTTTATACACATTATTATTATGTACTGTAGTAACATGAAGCCTGTCTTATCCGAATTCTGTATAATCTGGAAACCCGTATAAACCAGTCATTCAAAAATATCCGTTTTATACATACCTAAATATCTTCACTTCCACTCAAGTAAGACCCGATAATCTTCAAAACATAATATTTTCATCTACCTATGAAACTATGTAGCATATCGTTGATGGTTCTGGTACGTCAGGAACAGTGGAAATGACGTCATATCAACAATCAAAAATAATTCCCTGATTTTCTGTACAATTCAATACTGTGTAGTGCTTTGAATCAATTAGTGCCCATGGGTTGACTCTTGCCATTGTTTAGTTCATGGAGTGATGAATCGGTTTGGTCTAAATACACATTCAACATATGAATCATCTCTCCAAAGATCAACACTAGTCTATCATACCATGGACTTAACTTAAACAAGACCAAGTCCTGTAGTAAAGTGTGAAGAAAAAGTGACAAGAATTCAATATTTAGAGTTAATTTATGGAAAAAATAACAATGATGATGAAAAAGTATGATTTTTTTTACAATCTGCTTTTATTTTAATGATGTTCATTGAAATCATATGCAATACACATGAATTGTCCATTTCCTTTTATTAGATCTTTAACTAGACTGTGTTTTTGTTAGGCGTATGGAACAAGCAGAATACATAATCTATTTTCTCAGATACTACTTTATTGAAATTCTTATACGGTATATTTTTCTTACATAATTATGAACTATGCCTTTAATGTCCGTCCATTGATTATACTGATTATCATTAATTTTTGTGTATACCTATTTTCGCGATTTCGTCTTAAATAACTTATTTGTGAGGATTTGGTCGTGAGAGAACCAATAAACGATATAAAGTGTCTATTCATTGTTCAATTTGCTTGAACAAATACTCTTGTACACTCCTAACTTTACTATCAAATCCTCGTGCAAAATAAAGTGAAGGTATAGATTTTGCGAAAATTAACAGATTTTCAGTATATAAAAGCTATTAGTTGTATAGATTGTTATACTTTTTCTCAAAAATCGCTCATGTAAAGTTTGTTTATATGTATTTATAAGAATTGTTTTGTTATGAGTATACGTTATTTATGTACATCGGATTGTTATGACCATAAAAAGACTGTCCATAGGTCAATTAATAGTTAATGATAGATTAATCATCCATTAAACTTCCATTAAGGATACATGCTACCTTACTGTGATATCGCTTCTTTACAAAAGAGTTTCAAACTAAGAAACGTGTAATCTTTCCCTAATATTTAGTCATTTTGAGTTGATTAATTAATTAATTGAAATATGGATTGCAATATCACGCTAATTTTGTGTTCGTTAAGGGGAAAACTTTGGCATAAATTACATGTAAAACATGTACGGTACCATAGATCCTTAAGGGAGATAACTCTAACACAAATTGCAGATGTCATACGGTAGTGATTATCCTTACGGGAGTGTATATCTTTAAGGCAGACAACTCTAACACGGAGTACAGGTGTAATGTGTCAGGTAGTGTATATCCTTAAGGGAGATAACTCTTACACAAAGTACATGTGAAATGTGTCGGGAAGTGTATAACCTTAAGGAATATAACCCCAACACGAATTATAGGTGTAATGTGTCAGGTAGTGTATATCCTTAAGGGAGATAACTCTAACAGAAGTCACATCCCTATTGTAGCATGCATCCTTAAGGACGAAAGCTCTAAAACATTAGACATGTGTTTTGTGTAAGATTGTATATATCGTTAAAGGAGATATATCTTACACAAATCACTGGTATAATGTATTAGGTAGCATTTACAATTGCATTGTTTACCGGACAAATGATCGATTGTTTATTGTTATGTGTTTGTCTGTGTTATCTTGCAGTTTAATACTAGTTTTAGTAGTCTGTTTCCTTATTGGACCTGAGTTACTTGGAACCTTATTAAACCGGAGTTGTATTTGCTCCAGATAGTTCATTTCAACCAAAGAGGTTCCATTGTATTACATTTGACATTTATTCATATTTCATTATTTCCATTCGCTTAAACATTCCAAACTTTGTTTTAAAAAAAATATACAGTTTTGTTGATCAGTGTTTCTTGATGATTTGTTTTGGAAACATAAATATAACAACAAAACCAAAAACTGTGTATGTTGTTTGTTTGACCACAGAGTCCTAGAGCTAAGGTAATGGTATTGGCGTGAATTGGTTTCAGTGATTTGGCAGATCAACGAAGGGATCGCCAAAATTCAAATCATTACAGTTTAACATCATTTAAATCAAATGTATCGAATGTTTTCGTCTTCGTCTAGCTTGGCTCTTCGGCTTTACGGAACACATGCACACTAACTGCTTCACTTATACAGGGAAAGCACCCGAGAATATCGAATTGACGGTATTTTAAATATGTTCTACTCCAGACACCAATGACAAAATTTTGTAACGGTGTTGTCGATATAGACGGGTCGCAAAATGAAAACCTTCAAATTATTCCACTCAAATTTAGAATAAATCGCGTTTTATGACAAATTTCCTATTATATGATTTAACGTTTAAATAATTGATCAGATAATAACTCGCCACGTTTTCGATCGGGAGAGCTTGATTTTCATGTATAACCTTTTAGTTCCTACTTTAAAATCAACAGGGTTGTCGGGTGGTGCAGTGGATGGCGTCCTCGCGTTTTTACCAAGACGACCGGGGTTCGATTCCCCCGATCGGCCGGGAGAATGTATGGGGTCATCTGGCCGACAATTCGGGTTTTATCTACGTACTTTGATTTCATCCCAATAAAGCTCCATCCTCGCCAACAGGAGTGATTAATATAAGTTGGAAAACATGTTGCATAATCGTTATAAAATAAATATAGCTAACTGCTTATATCTAAAATCAACCCATTGAAATGGATATGTATTTACATAGCGTACGTTTGATACGTTGTTTCTCTCAATAACCCGAAACTCAAATAAACAAACATTAGGGGTATACTGCTGGATGCTATGTAGGCCTTTGAAATTACACACACGAACGAACTCATCCTTACGAACGGACGAACGAACGAACAAACAAACGAATGCACGCACAAATAAACAAACAAAAAAACAAATCCAAAACAATAAAACCCCTGGCATATAGAAGGTTTGGGGGAAACTCTGATATTCTAATAAAATTCCAATAACACACATACACATTTATTACTGTTAATTATTTAAACAAATGTGCATTGTGGGAAAACACACGATACAGCATATAAACAGTGTACTGAATTAATTTCATATGTCGGCATTATATTTTTAATGACAAAACATGTATATATAGCTCACACAATGACTGAGGAAGTACGTAACGCCTACCTCTTTCACTTGGTTTTATGTCCTGCGAATTTGTTTCATTTAATTTCATTAAATATTGTTTTCCGCGATATATTATTAATGTGAATTCATTTGTTTTCGTCGAAAGGCTGTCTTTTTGTATAGTACAATGACTCTAAATGGCGCCATCTTGATTTTTCTCGCGTGATCTGTTAATTATAAACTGAAGTACGCATGTCATATTCCAGTGTCTACTTCCTGTTGTATTAATACGCAAATCACCATGATGCTTTTTTATGCATGAGTATAGTTTTATTATCATTTTGCTTTGTCCAAATTTAGCTATACTCTATTTGACCTTTTTCTCAAGTGGAGAAATTCAAAATCGGCGACGTCAACAATGTAACGGCACTTTCCAATGGTTAAAAAACATCTGTTCTTTTTTGGCCAATAACACATACATGTACATGGAACAAATCATGCTTCAACTTTTTTCAAAACCGTCCCACTGTTGCATATGCTAGCAAGTGAGCCGTGTGTGGCTGTTCTTCAATGGTTTAGCTAATTCGTGTGAGGGAACACGCTTGCATGTACATATCTAAACGTTTACACATTACAACACTTGATACTGACACAACATGACAACTAGCTCAGCGTCCAGAATTTTTATGACAAAAGCGCTAGATAACTTTGACATGAGCTTACTTGTGAAATGAAAACGAGACATTACTTGAAAAAGCTGCACGCGCAAAGGAATAACCTAATTCCAATAATTTAATGACCAAAGTAACGCTGTCTTAGGCCCTGAGGCATCCTCGAAACTCGTGGGGTTACGCTCACTTACGCTCGGTTCGAATATGTTTGTTTGATTGATCTCGGGTAAAAAAAAAACACACCTGACCATTGGCTATAGGCTGATACGGCTCATTCCCCGAATACGAACTCTGGAAAATTCAAAGGAAGGTGTTTATATAGGAAATCCTTTGAAGTTTAGTTATAGCCTGTTTCAACTAAGAATGTCAACTCATTTTGTAGATATGATACTAAAGTCAATAATAAAATGGATAGAAAGTTTTTATTCATACATATAATAACTGTAATACACATTTGATACAGCACTTAGTAATAAAAAATAATCATTAAATATTGATATTTACATTTTATGAAAAAAAAATAGCATTACATTATATGAAAAAAAAAGCATTACATTATATGAAAAATAAAATTCCTTAATACAAGCCACATTGATACTAATGTCAGCAATAAAATAAAGATTCTATTCATACATATAACAGTAATACACATTTAATACAGCACTAAAGGATAATTATTAAACATGAATATAAACAGTAAACCACTAAATGAAGCTGAAGTTTCTAGCACAAATCACATTCTCTCTATATATATATCACTTAAGTCTCTAGCACAAAACACTCTATCCCAGATGCAGAAGCTGTGATGCTGAGTCGGCGTAGGTCGTCAGGTCGATAGTTCCAGTCTGATAACGGTCTTTCAGGGTGTCCAGGCGTCTGTTGATGTTGGCGTATCTCTTCTTTCGGGGTTGAGTAGTGCCTCCTGCATCTCTCTGGATCCGGCTGATGTCATTCACGTTCTGTATGTCCTTAAACGTCTGGATGATGGTGTAGATGTTGGGGTGGGCATGCAGTACTCTTTTCTTCAGTTTTCCGTGCCAAGCTTCTAGATGGTTGGTAGTCCGAGGTCCTTCTGTTGAGAAGTGGTTCCAGATTGGTCGGTCACCTTCTACCCATTGCTCTGTGACGTAGTCTGTGAAAAGCAGCACGGGATGTGGTATGTCAGCATCATCAGCATCTTCAAGGGTCTTCTATGCGGTCTAAGGGGATGAGTGGAAGAACAGTAGCTCGGCGGACAAGTAGTTTGACGTCGTCGTTCTCACGGTACAGTGTCTGGAGTCCGGTTGACTCGGCCTTTCGCCAAATACATTGAGTGTAATGGAAAAAACAGCCTTTTATGTTGATTCCAGAGACGACACTGCGGATGGCGTTGTGTGCTGCTACCTCAAAATCGACGAAGGCTGTTGTGGGTCGGAATGGAATCTGGAAGTTTGCCATGTGCTCCTGTAGTATGAAGAAACGGTTGTAGTTAGCCTGGCTCTTTCCGGGAAGTAGTGCATATGCAACTGGGGTCATGATTCCTTCAATCTGTACGTGAATGCTGTAAATCTGGTAAAAGATAGTAGGACAGGTGTAGAAGGTGCCGTCACTGTCCTTTGAAGATTACAAAGGAGCAATACCCGACTTCAAAGCCTGTCAATTTTTACCGTTACGCGACCGCGAGATTCTTTAGATGTACATCAAAGGATCGAATTAGTCTTCTTGTCTCATCAACATGGTGGCTCACAACGAGCCTTCAATTTTGCTATGACATATTCCAGGGGTGTAGAGAGCGTAAGTTAGCGTGACCCCTGGAGTGTCGAGGATGACCCCTAAGGTAGACACTAAATTATATTTGCGGAGAAAGGGATATAATCCACATGTTTGTATATGTAACTCTGTATTAGAAAATATTCTGAAATTAGCACAGGCCAAAGAGGCCTTCATACATGTTTTCAACCAAAGTGTTCAACCGTGTTAGAAAGAGATCTACCGTAATGCCACTTGTATGCTGGTTATTTCTTAAATACAACATACAATTTCGCTTTTCGATGATCTGGTTTCCATAGGGGTCTGTCTTTCCTTCAAAGAGAATTACGTTATGCTGTACATTCTTACCGAGCGGAAGGATACCAAGCTAGGGCACTATTTACCCAGTCATCAGTCACCACGGATTCCTCCGACTGGTAGTCCTCGTATATTTCACAAGAAAAGTGAAGGTTTAGGAGGCCTCGATTTCAGTGTAAAATGGCGTTAAGATGCCGGTCAGAGAAACGAAAGGTTAAATATAAGCTCAGTCCGAAACAACTTTTTTAATGTGTAATATCATACTGGAGAATTTGTTTGTGGCAATCCTCTAGAGTAACCAAAAAAACTTTCTCCTTAAGCCAAGCAGACCATCAAACTGGTATGACGTCACAAGACCCCGAAACCAAACCTTCAGGAGAATTCAGGATAGCTGGACAGTGAACGACCAAGAGCAACGTCACGACATCTCTGGTGTAAATGTAGAGGTGCTCATCAATCTGTTCCACTCTCTCACTGAACACAGGACTACACTGTGTCAGACTAGAGAAGGGACATAACCCATACGCATCCACAGAAAACATTAAGTTGTATGAAAGAGGCGAGTGTGACAATTATTGAAAGCTTTATGACCATCCAAAGTCACCGAAGGAGATACCTTCTCTGCTTCCATCCTCAGTGTGGCAGCCGCAAACATTGTCGTAGTGTAATACAACGGTGGCCGAATTGTGCCATTTCGCTGTTTCGTCTTTTCGCCCTGAAAGAAAAAACGAGATTTAGTAACAATTAATTCTCGTTGTTACCTTTTTTGGGGACGTAAAGACGAAACAACGAAAAGGCACAATTCAGCCACCGTAAAATACAGACTTTACTAGCTCTATACGAACGGGAAAGGATACAAAATGATTAAAAAAGCAAACATCGTACCAGTCTGCAAGCAAATATCCGGCATCTAATTACAATGTATCACCTCTCTTTTATTTCATTATTGGAAAAAATGCATTATCCACAGCACAGTGATGGGATTACGACAAGCTAAAACGCCATGTGTGACGAACAACCCAGGACCGGATATAGATGATCATGTGTAACCAAGGTATTACTGGGC